TTTTTTTTTTTTTTTTTTTTTTTTTTTTTTTTTTTTTAGAGACAGAGTCTTACTCTGTCACCTAGACTAGAGTAGAATGGAACAATCACAGCTCACTTGCAACATAGAAACCCCAGGGAATAAGGGATCATCCTGCCTTGGTAGTGAGTAGCTGGGATTATAGGCACCCCCCCCCCCCACCGCCAACCAAAGCCTGGCTAATTTCTTTTCTTATTAAAAAAATAATAAATTTTAGGGACAGGGTCCCACTATGTTGCCCAGTCTGGTTTCAAACTCCTGGGCTCGAGAGATCTTCCCACCTTGGCCTCCCTCCCCAAGTGCTGGGATTATAGGGGTGAACCACTGTGACCCACGCTCTGTGGTTTTTTGATACAGCACTTTTGGAACCCATTGTGATGGGGTTACCTGGACTTGTAGGGCAAGCCACAAACCCACTGGCTGTTCATGAGCTCTATCAAGTTACCACTTACTGTTTTTTCTAAAAAAGACTTGACTTTAGAGAGCACTTTTAGGTTCACAGCAAAATTGAAAGGAAGGTACAGAGGTTTCCCAGACATAACCCAACCTCCCATATAACCTTATTGCTTTTAAAAGCCATCTTTAAAATTTTTCTTTTCTCTGACCCTGCAACCCTTGCCATTTTGAGGTCTCGCCCCCAGAAGGGATTATTAAATCTGGTGCATGTTTTCTTGGTTGTCCTTCCCCCTGATGTGATGTGGGAGCCGTCACAAGCACCGGACAGGCATCGATGGGGGTCATTGAACATGAGTGGCTATGGAAGGTATTGGAAAGACCCTCAGAGGTGGAAGGCTTTTGTAACACTCAGGTATGCTGAGTCTCTGTTTTTAAAGGGTAGTCTTTTGGAAAATGAGTAAATATGCAAACAAACTTGTGTTACATCTGGGCTTTATTATGTGCCGGACCACTAGACTCTGTGTGTGTGTGTGTGTGTGTGTGTGTGTGTGTGTGTGTCTGTGTGTGTGTTTAGCCCGCATTATCTCAGTTAGCCAGTCTAATCTCAGTAGTAGTCACAGTAGGGATTTCTACCCTTCCTCATGGGGTTGCTGGCCAGGAGGTGTCCCGCCCTGTCACAAAACTTGCAGGTGCCCGAGCCTCCCATGTGCCCAGGTCAGCCACCAGCACTGCCTTTCCCCAGTGAGGAAACTGAGGCTCTGTCAGGTTAACTCTCACAGCATCCAAGACTCACTATAGCAGTGACCAGCCCAGGTTAGTTCAGGTCTCCTGACTCTTGGCCCCTCTGATATCCCATGGGGAGAAGTTGGTGAAGACAAGATGAGGCAATGTATCCTGCATGGGAGGGGGTCTCCTGGGGCAGCTGTCTCACACATACCCTCTGCCTCCTGCCCTCCGCCCACTGCCTTGAAGCATGTGAACCCCCCTTCCCTAGCTCTGGGTGGCACATTTTACATGGAGCCCAGCCTCCTGGCCCTTGGCTTTCACATAGCTTCACAGGTTCCTGGGAGGTCCAGGGCAGGAGAGAGAGCCCAGGGCCTGGTACTGGACAAGCTGGGACTTCTCAATCTGTGTCTGCTCCCCCACATCCTCTCTATCTGCCTCCTTTCTACTGCCAGCAACAACCAGAAAGCTCCCTCTTGCCTGGAAGCAGAAAGAAGATTCCTCTGTGTACCCACTCAGCCGGGTCAGTGGGATCCCCTCAGTGAGAAGATTCTTCCTGGGTTTGGGCATGGTTTGCTCTGCCCACAGGTGGGCAGATTCTCCAAAGCCTTTCACCTTGCGCTGGACAGCGAGCAGACCAATGCTCAGTGCAGGAGTTTGGGTTTCTCATCTCATTCATCATGGAGCCTAGCCTCCTTTTTTTTTTTTTTTTTTTTTTTTTTTTTTTAGCCTCCTTTTCTTTTTTTTTTTTTTTTTTTTTTTTTTTTTTAAAGGAGGATGTGATTGCTACTTTGTTTCTCTTTTTTTGTTACTTCAAATTGACATTCTGACCTTGGGCAGAGGGTAGTAGGGAGCTTGCTTTTATTCTTATCTTTTCATTTTGTGTTTTTGTTGTAAACTGCCTAAAAGTGTTGGAGAGTTTTATTTGGATACAATGAAGCCAGATATCAGAACACAAATTTACCCTCAAGACTCTGAGCTTTTAAAATGCAAAGGAAGGTCCCTTTTCTCCTCCTTTCTAAACTCAATGCAAATTTTTCTTCTGTAACTTGTTTTCCTAGCTTGATAAGGTGTCATTAGAGAATGGATAGTTCAAAAAAGAAGTGGTCTGAGGTGGGAGGATCGCTTGAACCCAGGAATTGGAGGCTGCAGTGAGCTATGATTGCACCACTGCATACCAGCCTGGATGACAGAATGAGATATCGTCTCTTAGAAAAGAAAAAAGAAGAAGAAGTGGTGTGTGCTTTTTCCACTCTGATTAAAAGAAAAAGCATGGCATGGGCATCTGCTAAGAAGCATGCTTCCTGCTTTGCCAATGCTGCCAGTTATTTGCAAGTGTCAGGGCTGAGTTTCTCTAGTTTCTTCAATTTCAGACCTAAATCATGCCCATTCTTAAATGACGTTAGAAAACACAAATGTGAAACTTTATAAAAGACTCAAATGTGTGTTTGATTGTAATGATTTTTTGTTTAAATTGAAGGGAAGTTCAGTTGCGTTAAGTGGAATAAATTTTTCTTGCACTTTCAGCCTGTTGGTTTCTGTTTTACTTGGGAGAAAGGGCTATATGCGTAGTCCCCAACAGGGGAATCGTTTTCATTAGACATTTTCTTACCTGCTTTAGATTAAAGAAGAAGTCTTGAAGCTCTAGAAGAATAAAAATGTGTGTGTTTGTGGGGGAGGGGGTGGGTGTTTTGTTGGGGAGAATGCCAGTAATTACTTCTCCCTCTGTTTTTTTCCAGCCTAGATTTTCCCCCCTTCTTTTGTAGATCCACACCAGCCATATTGGACCTTGCTCATCTATGCCCCAGCTCCACAGAGCAAGGCCAGATGCCTATTGGTTTAGACTCCCATAGGTGCATGGGGTGGTGTTGTTGAGGGGGAAAGGAAGTAGGGAGAAGAGCAGAGCAGTTTCCATAAGCAGAATTTGGGCTAGGCTTAAGCCACCACACCAAGGGGAAGATGGGCCTTGAGGTGCCAGACATTCTTTTTCCCCATAAATTGAGTTGTTAAACCTTTCTATACCAGTGAAATCTGACACTCTGGACACCTCATGAAATTGTTATATAAAACTACGGTGATGGGTTCTGTGAATTAAAAAAAAAAAGTACCTGTTTTCTTAATAATAATTATTACTATTATTGAGACAGACTCTCTGTCACCCAGGTTTGAGTGCAGTGGTACAATCTCAGTTCACTGCAACCTCTGCCTCCCAGATTCAAGCAATTCTCGTGCCTCAGCTTCCCAAGTAGCTGGGATTACAGGCACCCATTACCATGCTCAGCTAATTGTTTTGAATTTTTAGTAGAGACGAGGTTTCACCACGTTGAGCAGGCTGGTCTCAAACTCCAGCCTCGGGTGATCCGCCCACCTCGGCCTCCCTAAGTGCTGGAATTACAAGCTTGAGTCACCATGCCTGACCAAATAATAATAATAATAATAATAATAATAATAATTTAATGTGAACCTTTGGTGGGACCAGGCAGGAAAGACATAGAAGACATATCGTAGCTACCGCCAAAAGTTATTTTGCAAACTGTGGTTTTCTGACTTAATTGCTTTTTCCCCCCACTCTTCTTACTATGTTACTCTCTTTTCCAAATTGAAATATGTGTATTAGAACAACTTCGCTTTCTATTTTGTACTTTTTCTCCTATCTCAAGATTTTGAATCTCTGCTTAAATGCTCAGAAATGGAAATGTTTGCACCCATGTGGCCATGCTCATGCCCTTTTTGCTGGGTGATCCTGTTGTCACTGTTCTTTTGTGACTTCCCCAAAAGCCCCCACTGTGGTCTGTCCCCTGAAGGCTGCATCCGGGTGGCCCTGATACAAGCTAAAGATTTCAGGCTCGTTCCAAGTTCCAGAAATGTCTCCATCCCAAGGCACCCTGGGTTTCTCACTGTCCTCTTTATTAACATGGACAAAATGCCCTGCTTTGTGGGCTGATTTATGGTTGCATTAGGAAAAACTCCATGAAGGGCATAAAATACAGTGTCCCATGCTGGGGCCTAATCTTACATGTTATCGGTGATTGCAAGTGCATTTTATAACACTGGTGCCAAATCGAAATCAAGGTGATTTGCGCATCAATCTCCCGGATAAAATCAGGGAACACTCTATTGCAGTTTGACCTTCCTGGTGCCTTTGGTCCAACTTGTTTAAGTCCCTGGGACAATTACCCGGGGACAGTTGGAAAATGCAGTGATACTGGCCAGAGCTGGATTACCAGCTGTATCAGAAGGCTTAATCGTTCACCCAGAGATTCCTGAGAACGGGGGAAAAACCCTCAGAGGAGGCTCTGATTGTTTCTAAGAAAGGCTAGTGCTGCTGGCAGAGAAGGGGGAGAAACTAGGGGTCATTTTCATGTGTTTTTAGATGTACCCCTGAACTCTATAGCACATCTAAAAAGCAAAACTTTCAATTTTACAACAAGCTGGCAGATAACTGGGTCTCAAGAAGCCTGTGGGCTTTCCCTTCCTTATCATTCTGGGAGCTCAACTAACTGTGGGCCAGGGAAGTACTTAACGTTTCTAAAAGCAAAGATGAGAATAACGTCAGAGGGAGACATTCTATCCCTGTGACCACCTACTAACTATGCATCAGGAAGATACTTAAGTTTCTAAATCAACTAGTAAAGCAAGGATGAGAATGAAGTCAGTGGGAGCTATTTCATTCCTGCCACCACCAAAAGTTGGCTCCCCTTATTGATTTTTATAGAACAAGATCAGAGACTTCCTGAAAAATCTGATAGCTTCCCTTGGTGAAGTTCAAATCCTAAACCCAAGTTTTGATTGATGCATTCACAAGAGGCTCGGAGGGCTAAAAATATTTTGAGCAGATTCATGGAAATTGTAGATTTTTAGAACCTAAAGGCTCTTTAGTGATGGTCACAGGGTGTATTTAAGATAAATATTTTTAAGTCGGGGTTTTATGCCTATAATCTGAATCTCTCAACTTATATTTAGCCAAGACTTCTTTTTAAAGTAATTCCATCTCTTTTGAATCTGCACCCTTTCATAGCCCAAAGGGGGAACTTCAGATGGCTCTTCAGATGGTGAAAGCTGTTTTACAAAAACCCTTTAAGATATGCTAATGGATATGGGATGATTATTAAGATAAATACCTTGTGTTGGAAACTATAGTTAATTATAATATATATAATTAGTCACTGGTCAGGCTAGAAGTTATAATTTATTGCTCCTTAATTTGCATTTATTATCAAAGATATTCAATTTAAAGGAATTATAAAAAATAGCCTGATTTGAGTGGTTATGGAGATGGTGGGCATTTAGCAAACTTCAAAACTCTCCTTTCAAACTTTTCTAAACCCATCATATACAATTTCAGGAAATAACACACCAACAAGAGGAGATGGCTTGTGCTTGTTGATTAAAAAATGAGAAAGCCATTTTTGTAAGAAGAAATGATGTAATTTTCCTTTCTAGACCC